TATTTAACATTTTTAAAGACTAAAATTAAAAACAAAACAAAATAAATAATTTACCCACGTTTACGAGAGATAATCACTTATTATATTATATGTTAGCTACAATTTATTTTGCCTTGACTAGGATCCTTCTAATGCCTATTTATGTAGAGATGAAATGGTTGGTGTACTCAAATATCATATGAATGTATATGATTAAGTAGGAAAAAGCAAGTTGGCTCTTCTGCTCTAACAAGAAAATAATAAAAAAAAAAATTCAAAATCCCAAATGAAAGATGATACTGTTGAGTTGCTGCAGCAGGGACAAGAGAGAAGTTAGGGTCAAGCTTCTGTTAGAGCGGAAAAAAAGAATTTTTTTCATAAAACGTTTAAGTTCTAAATTTTTTCAATTAGACTTGTTGGATTTAACAGCCCTAAAAGTCCTAAAATCATTTTTTAATTAAGTTTTTCACATCATTTTTTTTTCATGTTATGTTTCTTTTTATTAAAACTATTCTTTTGTAATTTTTTTTTATTTTAAAATCGCAATAATCTATATAAAAGGCAAAAAAGAATTGGGACAATTGCAAAAATATCACTTTTGATGTGCCACTTTGCAAAAATACCACAATGGATTGTCCATTTGCAAAAATGTCACTAATTATGAATTTTTAAAGCCAAAATCTTAAAATTCTAAACCTAAAAAATATTTGACCCCTAACAAATCTTAAACCCTCAAAATTAAACCCTAATACAACATAGTTTCCCCAAACATAAATAATATAACGAATAAATAATTTTGAAAAAGTGATATTTTTACAAAAATTTTGAAAATGTGGCATTTTTGCAAAGTGGCATTTCTCGAAATTTCTCAAAAAAATTACATATTTTTTTATAGGATATTATTGGATTTTATAAATAAAATATCTATTTTCTATACATTAATTTACAATGAGGCCTGACTGATTCATTGGATGGTGATGCATTTTCAAGTTGTTCATCAAGCTAAGATGAGGCTGAGTCATTTTCTTCCAAATGGTTACCTATGAAACACAGTTCTGATGATTGGGATTTTGAGACAAGTCCCAAACACTTGTATACAAAAGCGAAACATGGTTACTCACTCTGCTACTCTGATGTCGAAGCCATGAAGGAGAGATTTTCTAAGCTATTGCTCGGTGAAGATGTCACGGGAGGATGCAAGGGTGTGCAAACCGCTTTGGCTTTATCGAACGCAATAACTCATCTTGCTAGTATGTTTTTTTAACTTCTTACAAAGTGAATTCATTTAATATAACTTGTGGATCATTACTTCTATGTCTTGTATTTGCAGCCTCGATATTCCGCGAGCTCTGGAAGTTGGAGCCTTTGTCTGAAGAACAAAAGCACAGATGGAGAAGAGAAATGGATTGGTTACTCTCTCCAACTAAATACATGATTGAGCTAGTCCCATCTAAGCAAGATGGTGCAAACGGATGATCACTTGATGTATGAATCTAAACTGTTTTTAAGTGAAAAAACAAAACTACACATAAAGAAACTGAATTGGATTTCATATTTGATCAGATAATGACTTCGAAAGCCCGTGCAGACATACATAAATACCTCCCAGCTCTGAGAAAATTGGACTCCACGTTAATTGTATGTGTTCTTTTTCTTTTACCAAAAACTTTATTTTCTTTCTCCTGATCTGATGAATGTTTTGATTTCAAAAATGTACAGGAGACACTTGACTCTATGGTAAACACAGAGTTTTGGTATTCAGAAGTGGGTCTTAAGTCAAAGAGAAAGAACGAAAACACAAGAGAGTGCAAAAGATGGTGGCTTCCATCTCCTAAGGTTCCCAAAGAGGGCTTATCTAGTTCAGTAAGAAATAACTTGTTTGAGAAAGGCAATGTTGTTTATCAAATCTTCAAAGCTACGAAATCGATGAACGAGACCGTGCTTCTTGATATGCCAATACCTACTATTATCAAGGATTCATTACCAAAAGTAAGCTTAACTTTCCTCGAATCTTGTATTTACATATATAATTCCATAAGCTGCCACATGTAAAGAGGTGGTTATATGAATCTTGTTTTCCATTGGTATATATAGTCTGGAAAGACAAGCCTCGGCGATGAACTTACAAGATGTTGTCTTCAGAGTCTGCTTCTATAGATGAAATCTTTGCGTCTCTTAGGCTTGTAACCGAACATGCTGCTCTCGAGACAGTTAATAGGTTAGAAGCAGCTATCTATGCATGGAAAGAGAAGACTACAGAACAAGGAAGCAGTGGTAAATCCCCTGTGCGAGGATCATGGTCATTGCTTAAAGACTCATTGTCTGAAACTAGTCGCATTGAGTCGCTCATAAACAGAGCAGAGAGGCTTAATTAATGATCAGATTAAATCCAAATACCCTAATCTTCCTCAGTCATTTCTTGATGCCACAAAGATTCAATATGGCAAGGTGAGAGGATACTAATAACTTCATATCGGTTGCCATCTCATGAACAATGCTTCATACTTACAAATCTCGGTTCGATATCAAGAAGGGAAGTTTTTTTTTGTTTCTTTATAGAACATAGTTTATTGAAGGAAACCTTTTTCCTCTGTTTTCAGGATATTGGCCATGCAATTCCTGAGGCGTATTCCCGGATTCTTGCGAGTTTGGCGTTTCGCATTTTGTCCAGGATCGAAGAAATCTTGCAAGAAGATTCTCTAAGCAACAACCCTAGTTCTCCTACAACACCAAGCTGCTCCCTTGGCTCCAAGAACCTCTTTAGAACCACAGAGAGGCTCCTGATCTCGTCCCGCTTAAGGCATTCCCTTATTCACGACATGAACAAAGCCAATGATGGTACAACAGATCCTAAAGACAGCAGTTACTCTTTGATGTAAGATGGTTTCATCGTTCGACATGCGTGCCACCTGAAGCTTCTCCTTTGGCCAGAGGGTTTCCTCCTCAATACTTAAGGAATATAGAAAATATTTGAAAATATCTTCTTTTTTTTTCAATAATACTAGATTTTTTTATCCGAGTTAAAAACAGTATTAAAATATTCAAAAACAAAACTTCATAATTATTTTTTATAGATGGGAGAAATAAAAAATAATAAAGATAAAATATATTTATGTTTGATCTAAATTTAGCTTTATTATATGTATGCACAATACATATCATTTTTTGTGTTTATAAATGTTAGAATACACAGTCTAAATATTATATAAATTCGATTAAAAACATATTTTATTATTTAATCCCACGCTTGGCGTGGGTCAAAACCTAGTGATATAATGTTCTAGAAGAAGCCCATCACACAAGCAAACTTTGTTTCCGTAGGACACAAGGAACATGTGATGATAAACAGAGAGACGAACACTTGATCCGGAAATAAACCCTAAACCATTCACCAAAGCTTGCCATAGAAACTACAAAACAACATTTTCCTTGAGACTTGCATACAAATTTAATACTTTTGCTGGCTCATTCGAAGAAGGTTTATCCCGATTTGATTCGACCTAAACACTCAGACACAGATCTCATCCTAGGACGCATCTCTGAATCCATTTCCGTGCAGTTTAAAGCGACACGAATGGTTTCAAGAACTTGTTTATCGGCGAAATCCTGATTTAGAAGCTTCGGATCTAAGATCTCGGCCAACGATCTCTCTTCCTTGTGCCACTTCCTCAAAGTACTAACGAGTTCTTCTCCTTCGGTTTCATAGGAACCATTATATGGTAACCGACCAGTCAACAATTCCAATAGAATCACCCCAAATGAATAAACATCGCATTTCTGAGATGATTTGCAACCAGAAGAAGAAGCTCGGGCTTCGGGTGCAAGGTAAGCAACTTGATGAGCTGAGAGCCTTGTCGCCACTGTGTGGTCTATGCTTTGCATTTTGGTGGATTGTGAATGATCAGTTGGTAGTTTGGGATAACCCGAAACCAGACGTGTGAGACCGAAACCCGAAATGCGAGGATGTAGCTCATCATCTAACAGGATCTTGCTCGATTTTAAGTTGCCGTGTACATACTTTCTTGAACTGTATTCATGTATATACATCAAACCCCGAGCTGTCCCTTGTACTATACGTAACCTCTCAGCCCAAGAGAGCGGAAGCCGAGTATTCGAAGGTCCACCTACAACAAAACAAATGCCATCTCAGTAAGCCACCTACACAGAATGCCTCAAAACCACAAACATAGCTCAAGAAAATGGACCCTAATCTAATACACCTGATAACAGAACCAAACCTATCACGCGTACGTTACCAAAGAAGATATAGCAGAGGTTAAGGTTAAACACATAAAGCTCTTGTTTGATAATCTAATCTCTACCCAAGTAACAAGGCAAAAATCTTCTTTTATGTCACATTAAACACTGTCTAAAGTTCTAAACTACCATTGAAATCACCTAACTGACCACACAGGACCACAAACACACAACGCCTTTATCTATTCAATAACTCCATAGAGAAACCAAATCTGTTACTTTGTTTCTTTCTAGTAGGTAAAGAAATCCCCATGCTTCTCCTTGATCTGTAATGTTTCAAGTTTTCAACACATGTAAAACCCATAAAGCTTTAAACAATAAAACAACAAAGAGAAGAAACCAACAAGTTTAGTCACTATACCAAAATCACACAAAAGGACAAAAAGCTCTGCACTTTGTAGTCATATAACCATCCAATTCAAGAACACAATAAAATGCAGACTTTAGCACTAAATTTGGAAGATTTAAGAAATAGATTTAGTGTTGTTACCATGTAAAGCAGAGTACAAGCTTCCATTGGTAATGAAATCAGTGATTAGAAGCTTCTCATCCTCTGCATAATAGTAAGCACTTAGCTTAACAATGTTTGGATGATTGATCCTACTCATAATCTCCACTTCGTTCTCGAAATCCTTAAACCGCCACGTGGCGTTACCGTCGCCGAGCCTTCTAACGGCAACAACGTCGGAGGATGATTCCGTCGTCACTACTCTGTACACAATCCCGCTCCTGCTTTTACCTATTACATAAGCCGATGCTCTCAACAAATCCTCAAGCTCAAGCTCGAATCCTTCATCAAACGCTACAAATTTACCATCTTGCCCTTCTTCGTCGAACTCTGTCTTCGACTCTGTTTTGTACTCGCCGGAGCTCTGTTTTCTCCGGATTAACCAAACCGATACAGAAACCGCTCCGATTAAAACCGAAACTCCTGAGATCAAAGAAACCGTTACCGATCCTGAGATCTGCTTCTTCTCCTTGACAATAACAAAATAACACCATTTTGAAATCATGTACAACTATAAAGCATGCAGTTTTGGTTTATAGTCTAATCTTAACATCATGATTATATCCCTTTGTGTTAATTACCTCACAAAATATACACACAAATATATAGCAATCTAAAAATGTTGATAAAATCCATATATTAATTACCCCACGTCTCCACTAATCTCACGTTAAATTAGCAGCGTTACTGAGAAATTAAAAGCTAATCAATTGCCTTTAAGACTTTCACTTCACTCTCACGTAGCTTAACTCCTTACCGTTTCAATCTCTTCGCTTCCCTAATATTTTCTTATAAAAAGCTCTTCTCAACTTCACTATTGTCAACCACAAAACTTTCCAATATCATCAACAATGGCAACAACACCAA